ATACCTGTCCCATTGCCTGTCGGCCACCCCTCTATTGTGAATGGGGATGACTACCCGCAATGGCGGACATCAGTTGCAGTGTTTGCATCGGCAAGAAAACCCTGACTAAAATGCGATCATATGGTAGATTTTATGCATTTTACCAGATGTACATTTCGAATCGAAACCCCCAGTAGGCCTAGTGTGTAACATCGGTAAGTCGGGCGAAAAGGAAAATGGGCAAACCGGTAATTGGGCGAACCGGTAATCGGGCGCAGGAGTTCGGGCGAAGTGGATTTCGGGCAAAGTGACTGTACCCCGGTATTGTTATATGCAGGACTAAAATCAGTACATAAAGCGAGGTGTAACAGGTATTGTTATATGCAGGACTAAAATCAGTACATGAAGTGAGGTAACAGGTATTGTTATATGCAGGACTAAAATCAGTACATGAAGTGAGGTAACAGGTATTGTTATATGCAGGACTAAAATCAGTACATGAAGTGAGGTAACAGGTATTGTTATATGCAGGACTAAAATCAGTACATGAAGTGAGGTAACAGGTATTGTTATATGCAGGACTAAAACCAGTACATGAAGTGAGGTAACAGGTATTGTTATATGCAGGACTAAAACCAGTACATGAAGTGAGGTAACAGGTATTGTTATATGCAGGACTAAAACCAGTACATGAAGTGAGGTAACAGGTATTGTTATATGCAGGACTAAAATCAGTACATGCAGTGAGGTAACAGGTATTGTTATATGCAGGACTAAAACCAGTACATGAAGTGAGGTAACAGGTATTGTTATATGCAGGACTAAAATCAGTACATGCAGTGAGGTAACAGGTATTGTTATATGCAGGACTAAAACCAGTACATGAAGTGAGGTAACAGGTATTGTTATATGCAGGACTAAAACCAGTAAATCAGTACATGAAGTGAGGTAACAGGTATTGTTATATGCAGGACTAAACCCAGTACATGAAGTGAGGTAACAGGTATTGTTATATATGCAGGACTAAAATCAGTACATGAAGTGAGGTAACAGGTATTGTTATATATGCAGGACTAAAATCAGTACATGAAGTGAAGTAATAGGTATTGTTATAAGCAGGACTAAAATCAGTACATGAAGTGAGGTAACAGGTATTGTTATATGCAGGACTAAAACCAGTACATGAAGTGAGGTAACAGGTATTGTTATATGCAGGATTAAAATCAGTACATGAAGTGAGGTAATAGGTATTCTTATATGCAGGACTAAAATCAGTACATGAAGTGAGGTAACAGGTAACCGGTATTGTTATATGCAGGACTAAAATCAGTACATGAAGTGAGGTAACAGGTATTGTTATATGCAGGACTAAAATCAGTACATGAAGTGAGGTAACAGGTATTGTTATATGCAGGACTAAAACCAGTACATGAAGTGAGGTAACAGGTATTGTTATATGCAGGATTAAAATCAGTACATGAAGTGAGGTAATAGGTATTGTTATATGCAGGATTAAAATCAGTACATAAAGTGAGGTGTAACAGGTATTGTTATATATGCAAGACTAAAACCAGTACATGAAGTGAGGTAACAGGTATTGTTATATGCAGGACTAAAATCAGTACATAAAGCGAGGTGTAACAGGTATTGTTATATATGCAGGACTAAAACCAGTACATAAAGCGAGGTGTAACAGGTATCAGTATATGAAGTGAGATAATGGGTATTAATTGTAGGGCTCAAAATAGACGAAACTGCAACCACATTGACCATTTACATTACCTTGAGTAGCTGTGCACTGAGATCTCTAGATATGGCTTCCACCAATCGTAAGGCTCTTTGTATTGGATATTTGGTATTTCTTATTTTCCTTAGATGACTAAATATAGCAACCAATGCTTGCCTGATACGGTCTAGTTCTGTTGCTGACAGGAGATCATTAAGTGGAAAGTCTTTCATCAATGGACTATAATCATTTACTGTAGCTAAAGCATGTTTCAAACCTACAAATAGAAAAACAATGTCAGTAGAACGAGTGCTTCATTTTACGATATAAATATTTAACATAGCATGTAAAACTGTAGAAAAGCATGGGATCAGCTCAGAAAGTCAAAGGCGAGAGCCTCATTCTGCACCAATAAGATGTTTGTAATTATATTGTCAGTTTAACTAACAGCAGGTTTTTACATAGCATACAGCCTATGGGATCCTGACCAAGATAATCAAATTCCCACCCACCAGAGTATTTTATTCTACTATACTTTAAACATACTATCCACAAACAAGAACTATATTAGGGAACTATGTTTTTAATATTCATGAGTAAATGTTACGAAAACCAATCAACACTGCAATGGAAATGCACCATGCTGATTGGTGCACACAAAGACAATAGCCAACAATGTCAACTAAGTCATTACTATACCGTACTTATCCAGGTAAGAGCCCATGCCTGGGCAAACGGCCACCCCCCACTTTTGACACAATAAAGGAGTTGAGGTCATATCCGGGCACACGCCCAGGGGGTCTTTTTCTACACAAAAAAAAAACTTTTCTATTCGTTGACTGTGGTTGTATTAACAGTTGACTTTCTTGAAGACTGTCGTGATACTTATAAAAAATGTTAATTGCCTAAAACAAGGGGTGAACGCAAATTAGCTGTGACAGCTTTCTGCCTTCAGGGCAGCGCGTTCTGAATCATAACAGTCAGCAAGTCTATAAAAATACATATTAAAGCAGAAACGGTAGTTCTCTTTAAAATATGTTGTGGCCCTAAAAATGG